AAGTGAGACTTCTGTAGTAATTAACTTAAGTCAGAATCAAGTGATTAAGGGCTTGTGGCTTTGTGAGAAGCCTAAAGACATGAAACGTAAGGAAAAGACGTTGTCTTTGTGTCTTATGCTTGTTGAGTATGATTATTGATATGATTGCTAGTCCAAAACAGATTGTGATTCTGCTGTGTTTGGGCTTTGAGCTTGGTTGGACTCTTGGCTTGAATTGTTAGCTTGCAAGGTAAGCTTTCGTGTCCTCGGTTTAGCCATTGTGTGGTTCCACCATACCCCAAGGGGAAATGGTTTATATGCATGATGTGTTTACATGCTTTGATAATTGAAAAAGTTGTTGAGCTTTATGTGCAAGGGCTTTTAATATGTATGTGTTGTTCCACTTAGATTGTTAGCCTGAGTATGTAGCGTCATACAAGACGGTGACACTGTGGGTGGGTGCAAGTGGCTTCTTGCATTAGTGTGGGTAATAGACGTATTTCTGTATCTCTCTGGCCAGTAGATTAGTTATAACACACATGACATGATTATCTGCTGCATTGCACTATTTTGGAACTTATATTGTTGAACTATTTTTGGAACTTATATTGCACATATAAGTGAGCTTGGGGTGGAAGATCCTTGAGGACCCTTTGTCTTACTAAGATTTCTGTTTAGAGATCTCACCCCACGTTTGGGGTGCTTATTTCAGGTTCAGGTAACCCAGGGGTTGAGACCTCTAGCGGCAAGAGGCCGAAGCTTAGTTGATTGATGTTATCTGTTTATGCTGACTGTGCTTGGATGCTGTTTTATGTCGGCTGATATCATGCTTATAGCTTCATTTGATGTTATTGTTGAGACTCTGTTGGCTATGTCGTTTATTTGGTGAGCATGGGGTTTGTCCATGCCACATTGACTTGACTTTCTGTTTTTAGTTATGAGTTGTATTAATGTATCAGGATATTGTCCAGACTACGTGTTGTAGGTCCTTGACTTAGATACTCACTTAATTATCTGATGAGGTATTTCAGTTAGCTGTCTTTTGCAATTTACATACAGGCGATGTTTTTATGAAAATGATTAAGTAATCAACTTGGCTAAGTATTATGACGTATAATTGAAAAGAAAAAGATATTCCGCATTTTTAATTAAGTGTGGCTTAATACGATGACATGTTAACAAACCGGGTATACACGGGGTGTTACAGTATCAGAGCTTTAGTGACCATGAGGTCACGAGTTCGATCCTCACCAGCCCCACTTTGGGCATGTGTAAATAAAAATTGGGCATGTGTAATATCCATACTTCAAGTCTAAAGGGCTCTTGCGTGAGTAGGTGTGCTAGAAAATAACATAAATCATTAAAAAAGTCATCACCTCATAATTTAAATTTTTAGGTTGAATTAGTTATTTACACTTTGGGCTTGAGACAACCCAATTGAGTGTTTTTCTCCATTACAACTACTGATTTGGATCCAGTCCTCAAATCGTTTGGGCTTGCTCCTAATATGAATGGTCCTTCCACTTCCTCTGCCATATGGGCATAACTGGGCCGCTACGCATACAAAGTAATTTTTACTACCAATTCAAGAATCATCAAGCCACTACACATGACATCATAATACTCTACTGCTTTTGATCCTGATACTTCACACTCAAACTCCTACATATGTTGTGTCTTATGCTTTGTCCATTCTATTAGGCTTTGTTTGGGAGTTGATTTTAGGAGGGGAAGAAAAGGAAATGGAGGGTTTTAGTAAGTCTTTCCCTTACTTGTGAGTTTAAAAAAATGAGGGGAAAAAAATTGGAGATTTTTACTAAACCCTCCAAAATCCTCATTCTTCTTAAAAAAAAGTTCCCTCAATTTGGGGGGTTTGAGGGGAAAAATATTAAAAATTACTTATCTACCCTTAGCATTAAAATGTGAAAACTACATAAATGTGAATCATTTTTAAATGTGATATTATTATAAAAGTCTCAAATACCGACAGAATTTATCGACGCAAAATATTTCGTCAAAAATAGTGATGAAATTTTTGATGAAAACCATATATGTCAAAAAATTTCCGTCAAAACTACAGATGAAATTAGAGACGGAACCAGATTTTGCCATAATCACCGACATAAATTTTTTACGGAAAAAAAAAATTCAGTCAAGATTATTGATAGAATCTAAATTCTGTCAAAACTTTCAACGACCATATTTTTGTCCAAAATTTTGACGAAACACATTTCCAATGAAAAGTTTCGACGTAAAACAATTACGTCAAAAAATTTTTACGGAAAACATTTTCATCAAAATTTTCGACAAAAAATATTTCCCTTAAAATCTGTGACTAAAAATATTTCTGTAAAAAATTTTGACGGAAAATTTGTTTTTTAAAATTCTTTACGGAATTTAAATTTCGTCAAAACATTTCCCTCAAAATATTTCACAAAAAACATATTTATCGAAATTTTTGACGAAAATATTTCTATCAAAATTTTCAACGAAACACATTTCCATCGAAAAAATTTTATGTAAAAAAATTTCACCAAAATTATTTACAAAATTTAAATTCCGTCGAAAATTTTAAACGAAAATATTTTCGTTAAACTTTTTGACAAAAAAAATTCTGTTGAAATTTTTAACGAAACACATTTTCATTGAAAATTTTCGACGAAAAATATTTCCGTCAAGTTTTTTTTGATAAAAAATATTTCCATCAAAATTTTCAACGGAACACATTTCTGTCCAAAATTTTCGACAAAAAATATTTTTCTAAATATTTTTGACGAAAAATATATTGATAAAAAATTTTGACGGAAAAAATATTTTCTCAAAATTCTTTACAGAATCTAAATTTCGTCGAAAGTTTTGAATGAAACATTTCACTCAAAATTTTTGATAAAACAATTTTCAACATATATTTTGTCAGATCATATGTCTATCAAAATTTTGAATGGAAAATATTTTGTCAAAATTTTTGACGGAATTTTTTTTCTTTTAAAACATTTGAAGGAGGAAATCATTGTCGTCAAAATTTTTGACGAAAACTAAATTTCGTCCGAAATTTCGATAGAAAATTTCTTTTTGCAAAAATTTTAATCGAAGAAAAAATTTCGTCGCTTTTCGACGAAAAGTATTCCGACGAAATTTTTATCGTTTGTAACGTAGAAATTTCGTCGAAAATATTATCTTTTTTAGTATTATGAATAGTACATAATAATTTTGTTAGAAATTTTAAATTTAGTTTAATTTGTAAAATATAATAGTTATATTAATTTTAAAAATGAGTTAAATGATAAAAATATTTCATTAACCCTCAATTTTTTTCCCTTACAATTTTTTTAAGTCTCAAACAAGCGAAGCAAATACCCTTCAATTTTCTTCTCTTCCTTTCCTTTCCTTCCAAACTCTCAAACAAAAGCCTTAGAAATTGCATTGTAAAGTTGCTTATGTCTAATACAATTCGATAAAATGATGAAGTATTTAACTGCGGTGTGATTCTTATTACCACATTTAATTCACTGATTTCACTAGGTTGGGTATTTTCTTTTTTCTCTAGGTGTATGCTGAAACTATGGAGCCCATAGTTTAACTGATTTTCCAAAGAACAAAAGCAAATTCCTAAACTGGTAGGGTAAGTACTTTTTTATTGTTAATTGAGAAATGTAAGACTACTAACTTTGAGCATCAATCCCGAATTGTAAAAATTAGAAATATCTTTTACCATTTTAGAATTGAACTAAAAATTACTATATATTCACAATATTTTTAGGATAAAAACATCGAATGTTTATTAAATATTTCAAAATATTTCTGCTTCACAAGTGTAATGAAAGATATGAAAAAGTAAAGACGACTAATGTTGTAAATTGTTTATAGGTACTACAATCTGTAAAATCTGTATGCATGAAATATATATAATTGAAAATTAAACATACAAGTTTGTTATTTCGAGAACGAAATCATATGGCCCAAATAGATAAACATAAGAAAAAAATTATAAATTGTCTAGAAACTTCTCGCTAAATATCCAAACCACGTGGTGGACCAAATAGATAAACATAATGAAAGAGGAAAATATCTCAAATTGTCTAGAATCTTCTCATTAAATTGTCTAAAATCCACATCACATAATCTTTGTGGATGATATTTTAACATACGTACCTACGCAGTCTTTCTCTGCCTCAAAATTATTACTTGCTAACAAGAACAAGGAAAGAAGAAAAGATTATTATAATAAATAATTTCATTTGTTTTCTTACTAGGTAAAATTTTATATCAATTTCATAAATAAAAAATAAATCCAAAATATTTCACAAAATTAACATAAAATTCTACCTAATGATAAAAAAATTAACCAAATAGTAATAGCTTAATGGACGTCAAAAAATTGAAAATAAGGAATTTAAGTATGTGATATATCCTCTTGAGTATTTTTGAAAAAGAGCTCAAAACTTTAATACCTGAACTTATTAGAATATTTTAAAAATAAAAAAAATAACGGTAAGAAGGTATCATATTGGTATTCGTGAAAGCGGAAATAAAGAACTAAATGCATATGATAAACAGTGTGAACTGAAAAGCTTTCCCAAAGGAGAAAAAAAACAATACTCGAGCTAAGTTATTGTATTGTGTTGCGCGTATTCAACACTCAGGCACACTCTCTCCAAGTTCACACTTTCTTTCATTTTCTCTTTTGTGTGTCACTAAATATTGTTCTGCAAGTATAATAATTTTGATCTAATAAATTTAATTCAATAAATTATAATTGTTAATTGATAAAAATTAATGATTAAGATCTAAAATAATAGAACGTTAAATTATTTAAAAGGATATATATATATATACAGAAGATTATATTTATAAATTTTTTGTTTACAAATTCTTAGAAACTATATTATACTTGATCGATAATACATTTTTGAGTAAAGTATTATCAATAAAATATAATATAATTTATAAGTTTATAAAAAAGAAATTTATATAGAGAGAGAGAGAACCAATATTTGATCTTCATTTGACTCCTTATAATTAATCCTCTAAGCATCATGGTCATTGTGCAAAAGCAGCTCCTTTTCTATATGATCCTCCATAAATAGTTGACATTGACCAGTTAAGCTGCAGTGCTTGTTGAGAGCTTCATCCACAAGCTCAAAATCAAAGCCAAACCCATCATTTTTCAGGAAGAAAGAAAGCAACCCATATCAAAGTTTGGGCTACTATGCATATTCAAAATATGAATCCTGTGAAGGAAGAGTTTCAGGGAGAAAGTTGTTCCTTCTCTGGTGATATCCAACCTGTGATTGTTCCCCAACCAATGGAGGGTCTTCATGAAAGTGGTCCTCCACCATTCCTCACAAAAACATATGACATTATTGATGATGCTTCCACAAATGAGATAGTTTCATGGAGCAAGGGAAACAACAGTTTCATTGTGTGGGATCCTCAAGCATTTTCCATCACTCTTCTTCCCAAATACTTCAAGCACAAGAACTTCTCTAGCTTTGTTAGGCAGCTTAACACCTATGTAAGTATATGCTCTCTGCTTTGTATATAATATATAATCTAAATGAAATACTATTCTTGTTTCTCAATGTGATGTAGTAATCTTCTTAAAAGGGGACAATAAGGAGAACAGTTTTATTTGAATCTGTTTTGTTTTCATTATGGTTTCTTTTGGCAATGAAACTATATAACCTTATCTTCGTTCATGTTAATGATAAATCAGCATAGTTTTAAATTTCTATTGCAGTTGCATTATTATCAGTAAAATTGCAGGCTATTCAAATCACAATATTGCCACCATAATTGCAGTTGTGTACTCCAATTTCTTCATTTCCTGTTTGTTTATGATAGTTGGTAGATTTAATTGGTCCCATTTTATCCTTTTATTTCTTGAGTTTCATGCTTGTTTACATTTTGTTTGTTTAATGTCTTAAAGAAAAGGAAAAGTACAAAGATTACACCATTGAATGATATAACACATTGTTGATTCATGAATTTTATATGAACTTTGATGTGATGTGCATGTTTTATCTTTCCATAGAACTTAATTGAAGGGTTTCTTAAGATATGCCTCTTCTCAAACCATAATTGCCACAGTGAGATTTTATAAATTTCATCCTAAAGAAAGAACTTGATATTGTTGTAGGGGTTTAGAAAAGTAGATCCTGATAAGTGGGAGTTTGCTAATGAAGAGTTTCTTAGAGGACAAAGGCATCTTTTGAAGAATATTAGGAGGAGGAAGACAACTCATCCTCAGCCTTCACAGCAAGCTATGGACCATTGTGTTGAAGTGGGGCGGTTTGGATTTGATGGAGAAATTGATCGGTTGAGGCGTGACAAGCAAGTTCTCATGGTGGAGCTGGTGAAACTTAGACAACAACAGCAGAATACTATAAGTTACCTTCAATTAACTGAAAGTAGGCTTAAAAAGACTGAGCAGAAACAGAAACAGATGATGAACTTTTTGGCAAGGGCAATGCAGAATCCTAACTTTGTGCAGCAATTAGTTCAACAAAAGGAATTGAGAAAGGAGCTGGAGGAATATTTTTTCAAGAAGAAAAGAGGACAACCAATTGATCAAGGGCCTAGTAATATTGAGGTAACTGAATTAGTTCATGCTGAAGAGTACTCAGCTTTAGTTAAACTTGAACAGCAGGACCCTGCTATGAATATGGGGGAACAAAGTGGAACCCAAAAGAGCATAGAGGAGAAAGGAGTTGAACTTGAAAGTAATAATAAAGACATTGACAAAGTATTATGGGAAGAATTTTTGAATGAAGGTATGGAAGACAATCTAGTAGGATTTAAAGAAGATGATGAATATATAAATGTGTTGGTTGAGGAACTTGGGTATTTAGCCTCAAGTTCTGAATAAAATGTTCTTCTAGGCTACATTTCTGATTTCTTCTAGGTACTTTGGCTTAATGAGCAAGCTAAGATTTCAAGTTTTTAACTTTGATACTCTACATGCTAAACACAGTCTTGATGAGGGTTTTTTTGGTATGAATTTAAAGCACTTGTTAATCAAGAAATTGACACCTTTTGGCATAGTAAGCAGCTAGAATGCAAGTTGTTCTCAAGGTTTCTCCGTGCTTCTCTCTCAAATTAACTTTGTATCCTAGTTTTTCATGTTAAGATCCCACAATGTATCTTTTTTACTAAAATCTAGTTTCTCGCAATGAGCTGGATAGGATACTCTTCCTATGCTATTGAATATACTTGCCGTTTGTATTTTCAACTTCACTACTCAAGATGCTAGTTAGTTAAGTTTAAGCTCCATTTCTTTGAAGGGTGTCTTGGTAGGGACGAATGGTGATCATGCAATGAGTGCCTCCTCACACTTTCAAATGTTTTTGTTCATGTCCTAAACTCCTAATAGCATTCCTACTCTAAAAATTCCAGGAGGGTGCTATCTCAAGGTTAACCTGGTCTTCAAGTATTGTTACATTCCAAATAATCTCCTAATTTCTCATTATTGAATGGTTTTAGAGCAGCTTGTGAGAGAAAGGTAATTTTTATGGTGTAGTTCAATTAGTAATACAAGCTGAGTAGATGAGGAAATAATTTGGATTCGGTTTTCATCAAATACATATTTGGAGAAAGAGGCTGAAGAATTTTAATTATAATTAAACTTGACTAGTTCTATAGTTGATTTAAAGAGTTAAAACTTATATAAATATTCGGAAGAACTGATTCGTCTCAAAGAAATAGTTATAGTCACTATAATCAAAGAAAGGGAGGGGGGTAATTTCTAGTATATAGTAATTGAAATTATAAGGGAAAAAATTATAAAATAACCGTTAGGAGATTCTACAAGTATGGTAAGCTTGTTTATTATAGGTTGCGCATGATTAGATACCACCAAGATAATTTGTCATCTAATTCAATAGAAATGTCAAGAAAGGTAAAATGAAGTGTAAACTACAGATTAAGGAGGCATTTGGAGAAAAAAAATTTAACGGACCACATGTGTTTAGAGGAGAGAGGAATCTGAAGAGGAGCATTTGCGTAACAAATATGGCGCAAAAATTTTCACTTCCTTAGTTATCTTCGGATATCACCTCGAAGGTGGTCTTTCGAAACGGTGATTTGAAGATCAATTTACACACATTTCAGCTTTTCATGGGAAAAAAGTTGCCTAATTTTATTTCTGACACTCCTCTACCAAACACCGCATTATTCAGTCTCCACCCTTACCTACGCATCAATCCCCTAAAAACCACCTATTAAATACCCCTAAAGAGAAACATACTTGAACTACCAAAAGCACTAATAATTTATAATTGAAGAGACAGAGGCAAGGACATGTCATTGATCGTGCCTGTTTTATACTTTTGAATTGGGTCACCCGTCAATAATTCCATGGACATGCCTCTTATACTTTTGTTTTCAAACTCTTGTGGTAACTAAAATAATTTTGTTAACAAGTATTCTGAAGTATTGATTAAGTAATTAAAAATAAAAATCATAAGTATTAAATTAAAAAAAAATTACTTTAGAATTGTTTTTTTTTTTTTTTTGGTAATCGAATTGTTATCTTTAATTCCTTCATTACAGAACTTAACAAAATTCTTTAACAGAATAATATTTTTACAGTTACTGTATATAAATTATTTGTATTTATTCTTAAAATGACATCGTTTTGAGATTGGAAAATTAAATAATTATAATTATAAAAATTATAATAATTTTAAAAGAAATTAAAATTATAAAAATAGCATATTTCTGTCTCAATACGACGTTGTATTAGACTTAATGCAGAAAAAAGGAAAAATAACATATATATTTGCTTTTTATATTCTGGAGTAACTGGATCTTAATCATTTACCACAAAAGTGGAGGACCTACATGTTGGTCTTAGCGATAAGATTTCTAGACACATCTTAGAAGGAGCTAGTAACAGAATGCGAGAATATACAATTCTTGAAATCTGTGTTTGATTATTTTTCTTCTTTGTTCTTTTGCATTTTAGCACGTCCCTCTTCTCTTTCAATCATTCTAGGAGTTTCTGGCGAAATCATGAGGAAAAAAGGCCATTCTAGAATATTTGTTTGATTACATCTAATGATATTTTACTATACATTTAGTTACAAAGCATATTCATGATTTAAACCCAAACTATCAAAGAAGAGAAAAAAAATAAAAAACTTAAGGCACGTAGGAGAGGGTTGTTGTGTACTTGGTGGTGGTGAAGAATGAGCAGGTGATGGAGGTGGGGATGGAACATTAGAAGACTCAGAAGTAGCAGAACTACTTGGGGACGTATCCCTAGCAGTGGATGTAGGTTTTGACGTTCCTCCTTTCTTTAGCCTTTTTGTAATAGGCTCATTGTCTTCACTGTCTTCTTTCTTGTCAGAGAAGGTGATGGGTTTTTTAGAGGATGCTCCATCTGCCCTTTTTGTGCTGCTGAAGGATCTCTTCAGCCTCTGACTGGAACGTTCCCCCTTTCTAGGGAGAGCTTTGGCAGGAGATTTCTTTTTGCCCTGCTTGCTCGCAGCAGCAACAGGGGCTTCCTTCTTTACTTTGGTGGGAGGGGGAACGGTTCTCCTTGCCTGGGTGTAGGTGGAAGTGGTTGCAGACTTTGAAGGGGTTGCCTTCGTGGTTTTCTTCTTTGGGGCCTCAGGGTCCTCTTCATCTTCAATGTCATCAACGTCACGTCTGACATTGTAACCTTCAGGACATGGAATGTCTGTTTTTATGTAGGTGCTCCTCAGACCATTCCATGTTTTAAAATCAATGACAGACCCCAACACTAGGTCATCATTGTCGAAAGTTTTCACTCCAGCTCTCAAACAGAGCTTTGTAATCAGGCAGGGGAGACAGACAGTAGTTTTCCTGATCTCCTTCTTCAGGCTGCCATAGATGAGAGGTACTGCATCAAAGAAAATATTCCTCATGATGCAGTAGAGTTTCACCTGTAGTGCCCACTTAACAGTGGCATCATGTGTTGAGGGGGTGAGGTTGGTGTTAGCAAACAGAGACCAAAATCTAGCCTCGTCTTTTAAACTGCCCTTGCAGAGGGCTCCCTTGGCATAAATAGGGTCACCAATGGTGATCAAGTTCTTTACTTCCAGTACGAACTCTTGGACCTCTCTGCTCTCTATATACCCTTGGCAAGGGCTGTTGGAAACGGTTGGAAGATGGAGTACTTCCTTGATGGCTGCAGGGGCGAATGATACTTTCTTCCCCTTCACAGTCACCACATCAGCTGTGTACCCCTAGGGTAGCCTCTTTGCATGATACAGGAACTCAGCCACCAAGGCAATGTTGAGTTCTCGTTCGTCTGTGGCAAACAAGGTCCACCTGAGTTTAGTCAAAGCCCTCTTCATGAAGGATGGAAGAGGAGCCTTGTCTTGTAAGAAGATGTTTCTCTCTGGGTAAAGAGATACAACTTCTTTAGTGATTTCTGGTTCCTGGCCACAGGGGTAACAGTTACAGAGAGTCTAGTCATGTTTATAGAAGAGGAAAAGGTTAGGGCAAAATGTAGAGGAAGATGTTAATAAGAGCAAAAGTTTCTAGGTTAGCAGAGAACGGTAAGGTTTGAAGATGAAAGGAGATGAGTTTAAATAAGCATGCGGAGGAGGAAAAATGAAGAGTTTTCAGGACGTGGAGGTTAAGGACAGGGAGTTGAGGAGGTGATGGAAGGGGAACGTTACGAAATGAGTGGTCAGGGGTTAGTGGTATTCAACTGCTGCTGATGGTTGTAAGGAGGTGGAAAGGTTTAGGTTAGAAACGTAGGAGAGAGAGAAACAGGAGAGGAGCAGTTGCATTAATGGCTGAGGAGACAATTACTTTTTCAGGGCACGTTTTCAAAATCTGCAATGAGTGCAGATTTGATAACAGCTGTGTATATGTAAGTGACTCAGCAGGGACAGGTGTCCCTGTCACTCTTATCTCCTAAGTCAGAGAACGTTCCCTTTGTCTTTTACCTATATTTCTAAAAGAATTATAATAAACTAATGCCCTAATAAATAATAATGCAATGAAAACCTAATTAACACAAGAAACAAGAATTATATAAATTGTTTTATAAAGAGAAAAAAATATTTATTATGTATAAAATGTTTTTTTATTTTTATTTTTTTTATATGGGATGTGTGGTTATTGAACCACCCCAAAACTACGTTCCTAGAACGGAACATATTTCATTTATTTGGACTAGAGGTGAACATCAGACGTTCCCTCAATTTTTGGGAGCTTTGTGGTTGAGTTTAACCACCCCAAAACTTTGCTCATGTTAAAGGGCAAAGGTATCCACTAGGTTGACTCCCAGTCAACTCTTAGTTTATTGTCTTTAGCTAGACATGTTACTTACCTCTTAGGTTTATGGAGATGTTGTTGAGGGAACTTTAGTATCCCCTGGCAATTTTCCTGGTGTCCTGGTGTTGAGGCTAGCAGTTATCTGTCCCAGGTGGGATTCAATATTTCTGACCACAGCATCATTCTTGGTGACATATTCCTTGACATAATTTTCCAAGGTGTTGATGTGTTGATCATCTTTGGGGAACGGAGCATAATTGGTTCTTCTCTGTGGTTCATATGCTCCAATGCTGCTGCCTTGTTGATATTGTTGTTGCTGCTTGTTGTATGGTCTCTGGTTCATGGGTGGTCTCCATTGAGGGTTATGGTTCTGATCTTTCACTATGGTTCCTCTAGGATTTTGATGGTTGTTGCTCCCTGCTTGCTGATTGTCTCTGGTTTGGGTGAAGTTTCTGTTACCAAAATTTTCTGCATAACACACCAAAGCAGTGGATGGGCAGTCTGCTGAATCATGGTGATCACCACAGGCAGAGCATGGTTTAGTCTCAGTCACTGTGAGTTGTAAGACTTCCATCCTTGGGTGTTCTTGATCAGCTTTCGGATTCTTCACCTCATTCATTAGTGTAGCCAGTTGGGACTACATGGCAGTTTGTTTGTCTAATTCTAGCATGCCTGGCTTCCTTATTGGGTTCATCCGTTCCAGTGGCCATTGGAGACATATTTCTGTAGTGCCTTCTATGATTTTGTACCTGGATTCAAGAGTTCATGTAAAGAAATATCCTCCTGCGGCAAAGTCTAAATGTGATTGAGAAGTATGATCAATCCCTTTGTAGAAAGATTATAAAATTCCCCAACTTTCCATCCCATGGTTTGGACATTTTCTAATGATGTCTTTATATCTCTCCCAAGCTT